TATTGAGCACTTTTTAATACTACTGTTTCTGGGTTTTATTCAACTCTGATCATTAACATTTTGTGTATTATACACACACACAAATACACATACACACACACACAAACATATATATATGCAATTGATCCAGAAGTATCGGCCATTTTCTTGTAAATTCATATCGTTATTCCGTCAAAGTAATTCCCTTGGTTTCGATGACCTAACGAAAAAAAAAATCTGTTTTCATCATAAAATAAATAATTCCCGTCTTGATGCGATAAATTCTTCGAGGAATTTTTGATCCCCCGAACTTAATGGAGCCATAATTTAGTCAAAAGTAAGTGTCTGTAGCAGACCAAGTAATAGAATAAGTGTCGGGTTTATAGAATGATATCGCGTGTAGAAGAACTTCTCTTCCCAACTTGAGGATCGTTTGCGGTTGTCATGTAATAAAATCACTGGTCGACTCCCTTTGCCTAGCAAAGCATATTTTCTCTCATTCACTTCTAAATTTCCTGCGAGTTCACGTGCTGTTTGTATTGCGTTTTGTTTCAAACGTTCCTCTAATCCAGTTATGTGCAAAGCTGCTGTCCGTGGGACACATGCCTTTCTCAATGGCACGCCTAATTTCACGAGAAAAATAGCGTTTACTAAAAATCTTTCTTTCGTCCTCACTTGTTCACTCACATATTCTCATACATAACTACATACATAGGCAATGATTAAAACAAAAATACGTGAATTTTTTAACTTATCGTAACTTTCTCCGTATTTTAAACTATTGGCGATTTTCAATAAAGATCATGCGTGTAAGTATCTTTTACTTTAGGTTACGTTCATAAATATTTTTTATCTGGAAAAGAAATATTTTTTTTTATTTAAAAAATTATTCATTGCATTTTCAAATGAATAAATGAGAAGCAAATCACTCACAGCAGTGTTTGTTAATCATTTTATTTATTTTTTTATTCTTGAGAAATTTCTCATAAAAATATAGGAAAAAAAAGACAACCTTTTCACCATTACTAAGGGAGATAATTTGGCGTATGGTTTTCTTTACTGAAACTGGCTGAGGCACCTTCAGCGAAAAATTACCTTGGATCTTTTTACTTATGAATCTCACCTTATAATAAGCCATATCTGATGTGATCTACAAGTCGGAAAAGGTTACCGATGGCTCTTCTAATCCATCAAGTTCAATGTTACGCAGCTAAAAATTAATAAACATTCATTCTTTCTAGTCGAAATATGAAGAGTAAAATCAGAACTGTGCCTTTTATAGTCAGAACTTTTTAAAAGAGATTAAAATTTCAAATATGCTATTTTCTTTATAAAGATCAAAAACCCATATATGTCTATCATAATCATGACTTTCATAAAAATTAAAATCCCACAATTGTATTTTTTACTGCAACATTTTTCCGAAATATAAAATTTCAAATGGGACATTTTACAATTGGATTGTGTGTGTGTGTGTGTGTGTGTGTGTGTGTGTGTGTGTGTGTGTGTGTGTGTGTGTGTGTGTGTATACAAAACACGTCTAGCAGAAGGATGATTGATTTCAAAATCTAAGTAGATCAGCCATCCAGATGACAAACAGTGCCGGCTTAAGGTACTGGTAACTTGGGCAGTCGCCCGGAGGGCCATTCAAGGCTGAAGACCCCACCACGTCATCACGTCATATGTTTGGAATCATCCAAAACCAAAGCTTATTAAAAGAAAAATCGACTATGACTCAAGAAGGATTAAATCTATTTTGCCAATAGAAAATGATTTTGTAAAGAAGTTAGGCGTAGAAATTTCAATGAAAAATTTGCAGATCTAAAGTCTAGAAAAATGTTTTAGGTAGGATAATGAATGTTTTCTTTAGCGTGTATTAATTGTGTATTATAATAAACTCTTTATTCTACATTTTCAGTTTTTTATCCTTGTGAAAACTTATACTTGTATGAGCGCCGAAGTTTAATTTACCCAGCGTACCAGCAACTCTGGGGCCATCACTGATGACAACACTTCAAGTGCCCAGTATAGTGCACATCATGACCGTTCCTCCCGTCTAATCACATGTGTGTGTGTCTGTGTCTGTGTGTGTGTCTGTGTGTGTGTGTCTGTGTGTGTGTGAACAAAAGTTAAACATATCTTAGCTGATGCGTTTCGTACACTGATCAATTTTATCAGGTTGGCATTTCGTACGTTTTACCCAAATTTCTCGTCTTTTGAATAGGAGCAGAGGTTTATCTCTTGTTTAAAAGTAACTCCTTGCGGCTTAGTGGCGTTATCGCCTTGCTTAGGATGAAATGATTATAAAACAAATGTAAGGTTTTTATTTTACAAATATTTATACACAGAAGAAAAATTTCGTTAGTTTTTTTCAGAATTTTAAAATTTGATAACGCTTCTAAATATGCTTCAGGCTAACTAAACTTTATGGCAAATTATGGGTGACGCTAAGTGATGCAAGTTAATGTCTAATAAACAAAAGTTTGATTAATGCCGTTATTGTTGTTCTTGTTGAATCTTTCTTTTTATAATTTAATTATTATTTATATTAATTATTTTTAGAAATTGATTTATGTATTATATATTTTTTATATATTATGGATTATATTATTATGCATTATTATTATATATTATATATATATTATAGTCAGCTACAAAAACACGTCGAGCTAAGATGTGTGTTTTTCAACACACACACACACACACACATATATATATATATATATATATATATATATATATATATATATATATATATATATGCTTTGAATATTGCTGCCACATCTGCTCTGGTGATCCTGTTATAGATTTAGAGATTCTTGACAAAATCCAAGGAAGTATCTGCAATGTTATTGGTCCTGACCTGGTCTTTTATATCAGGAACCTCTTGCGTTCAAGTGGCTTTTATTACGATGCTTGGGAGTAGACGATCAATATATATATATATATATATATATATATATTTTTTTTTTTTTTTATATATATATATATATATATATATATATATATATATATGTATTTTTTTCGATTTTATATATATATATATATATATATGTATTTTTTCAATTTTATATATATATATATATATATATATATATATATATGCTCTTTATTTCGGTTGAGCTCTCAGTGACTATTACTGCTACTAATTCAATACTCTTCGATAAAACGATTCAAGTTCTCTGAGTCACTGGCGTGTTTATCTAAAAATAAATACGCTTAAATTCACCTTTATCACTGCCATACGTCAACGGTGTAGATTCTCCGACTGATATCAATTCAGCCGAGTTTCGATCCTAGATATAGGATCGAAACTCGTTTGAATTTCACACTGATGAGCTGTCATACTGCGAAACAGTCTCTCTGTGGATGACTATATATATATATATATTTTATGGCATGCCAATTCCATATTTGGCCTATCATTCATTAATGAATCTACATCAAATGCCAATGTCGATCATCTTTCACAAGAGCAGACACGCTCATACATACATACATACATACACGCTCATACATTCATACATACATACACGCTCATACATACATACATACATACACGCTCATACATACATACATACATACACGCTCATACATACATACATACAAAAAATACAGACAGACAGACGCACATGCGCACACACACAGAACAAGGCCTGCCACCACACATATTGCTGTCGACAAAGACAAACCACCTCATTTAGTACCTTAATGCAACCCCATCCACATTTTGTTCTCAGTAAATGTTCAGCAAGCCTTGATGGATACCAAGTGGTTTATTTTCGTTGTCACAAGAGAGGCGGTCAATGTCTGCTTCGTACGTATTTTCATTTCAGGTACCATTTTGGTAGATTGCTATCTGTAAAATATCTTAAAATATGAGTCAGGTAGCATTGCACCTACAACCATAGAACCAAACCAGCGATTAGGATATTGTTGACCGACATCATGAAATGGAAAGTATTAATCTCAGATAGAACCACCCGTACACACACACACGCACGCGCTCACACATACAATATATACAGAGTGTCCAAAAATGATGTACTCACTTTTTTAAATGGCAATAAATCTAGTGTTTACTGACTTGAAAACAAGATTAGTGCTTAAAATTAACGGTTTAAATTAAATAGTAAATAAAATTAAACGCATGGATCTGATAAAGGAAAAGAACATGAATACATTTGTAAATTATATTGTATATATATATATATATATATATATATATATATATATATATATATATATATATATATATATATCCTCTGGCCTTTTATTCATATTGTACTTTTACAGATATACTATATTTGAAATAAATATATATATATATATATATATATGTGTGTGTGTGTGTGTGTGTGTGTGTGTGTGTGTGTGTGTGTGTGTGTGTCTGTGTGTGTGTGTTATGGGACCTTACCCATAATAACATAATGGACTATTCCATACGTAATAAATACTGCGCCTCAAGAGGAAGCAGGGAGTTCAATCCGAAGTCGGGCGTCCGGCTGATCGGTTGAACTCCCCGTCTTCGGGCGGGGAGGAACCCGAACGAGGCTACGCCGAAGGGCGGAGTCTCTTTCGGGGGGGTAAACCGACCCTGAGCCCGTTATGGGTTCAAAGGGCATATTTTTGGCCGGGCCCACGGGCTCGTAGATCCCACGTTAAACCGGCCTTGTGCCACATGATGCCCTCATGGGGGAGGTGACTAAATACCGTTCAATCTGAAGTCTGGAGTGAGGTCCGTCAGGAGTCTATCAGTCAGTCAGTCGAGTCAGAGGCAGTCTGAAACAGAGTCGCGTTCAGACAATTACTACTAAATCTGATTGTTCGTAATAACACTTTCTACTTCTCTGTATATATTCCTGTTTGTAATATATCTGTGTTATTCCATACCTGTGTTCGAGTTCTTTATTGGTTCTACCTTGGACTATCACCGTGGTACAAGGAACCGGACCATAACAATATATATATGCAAAAACATTCGTATGCATATGTTTGTGTGTGTGTGTGTGTAATAGGATAAAAGTGCTCAATATCCGTGACAGAGCGTGTGTAAATATAAGTATGGACACTGTGTTGTTAACAATGAATGGCGGCAGTGTGTTTCATGTATGATCGCAGTTTTCAAGCCATTATGATAAAATATAGTTTTACGGCATGCTATATTTATGTGTTAAAGCGCTTAATATAAAGGGATAGGAGGCATGTAAATATAAAAGTGGACATTGAGGTCAACACCCAGAGATGCCAGTCTGTTTCATACTTAAGTCGAATTGTCATAACCTGAGGACTGCGTTTAAGCATGAAAAAGACTATCAAGCCGCTGGCTGTTGACCTCACCACTTTTGTTATAATTTTCGAACAAATGATTATATATATATATATATATATATATATATATATATATATATATATATATATATATGGGGCATATTATGCTACATTGCAGTCGTTAGATATTTAGCTAGATAACATTTTTAAAAGTGACCTATTTATGTTGTGGCCTTCTTCAAAATGTTTCTGGTAAGATCAAAAGCTTTGATGCGGGTGGCAAACAATTTTCATCCAAGAATGAATTTGGCGAAATAATACCAACTGTTTATGAATCCATCACTTGATGAAATTCTTAATTTATCTTCTTTTATGGACGAAAAGCTGCTTGACGTTATCAGAAAAATGGAAATTCTATCAGCAACTAATATTGCATTCCTACTGTTTCATTTAATCAAAATTGTCATAGTTTGCTTTGTATGTATTTTCGTTGACTAAATCGCGCAGGTCATTCGAGTTCATTTTTTATTCTGCTGTCACTTCAAATTGACACATTTGTGTTGGTTTCATATAAAGTGGAACGTCTTAATTTTTTTTTTCTTTTTGGCATATTCCTCCAAAAAATGAAATCCTATATTTTAATAATATCATAAATGTTGTGGTTTTCCACAGAAAAATGAAACTAAAATCTGATGAACATTTGTTATAGAACTAATTATTTTGTATTGATTTTCTCATACATTATCTCAGGTGTTATTAGTCATACATTGCCTCAGGTGTTATTAGTCATATATTGTCTTAGGTATTATTAGTCATACATTGTCTCAGGTGCAACGTTTCCACAATAAAATTGTGATTAATCAACCGTGTATTACACTGCAAGATAACAATTTTGAAACTCACTTGATCTGTTCTGTTCTATCCATCCTATTCATCTGACTTTGCACCAACCGTTTCTTACCTTTATTCGATCCCTGCAAAAGGGTTTTATTGCGGAAAACTGCCTCTGGTGAAAACAAAATTTAAAAGTTCGTGTCGTGGAAAACGTTTTCACGTCAAAACCTGTTGTATTTTATCCAAGAAGAGCTGTCTGTTAACTAGCTACAAGTCATTGAAATTAATGGTGAATATATCTAAATACATAAATGTTAAATTCTGTCTGTCCATGTGTCTGAATTTCCTCTACCTCGGGCCACACTTACTCTACATAGACGTTATATACCTTTTGAGAATCAAGATGAGACCTGTGGTTTTTATACTCATCGTGTCAAGTGGCTAAATCATTCTAATGTTACTGATGTAGCCGGTATTCAAACTTTTTTTTACGTTGCACAGTCTCTTAGTCAAATAGTAGATTTTCCTACTCGTTAGCCTAATCTCTATCTATAAAAGGCAGGATCTGTGTGTGTGTGTGTGTGTGTGTGTGTGTGTGTGTGTGTGTGTGTGTGTGTGTGTGTGTGTGTGTGTGTGTGTAACGAATGCACGACCGCAATTTTCGACGGATTTACACCAAAATTTACATGCACATGCTCCAAGTTTGCGGAAAGGCCAAGACTGACTTTGCATTGCCCAACTCCCATCGATAGTGGAAATAATCGATTTTTCCATCCTTCTACGGCAGTTTTCATGTAGCTTGCGGCCATTTTCTACTGGCCAGAGTGTGAGCCTATAGCTGGCTGCCACGAATAGGCAGGAAGATTCTACTGGCCAGCCTGAAAGCCAACAGCTGACTGACACGAATGTTAACTAGCATGCTAGCATGCAAAAAAATAATCGATAGCTGCATTCGTCACAAGTGGGAAAAATTTAAATCTGCATGGTACTTTACTCCAATTGGCTCATTCGCTTGCTTAAACTCAACGTTGATTCTGATTCCGCAGAACTGGGTTGGGTGTGAAAAAGTATTTGTTGTTAGCATTCTTTTTTCATTCGATTTATCCACGTACGAATCCTTTTTTAAAGCTGATCGTTTTGTGTTCATTTTGTTTAGTTCTTTTTTCGTAATAGATTTAATGTTTAGTATAGAGCTTAGAAAACATTCGCAGTGTGAAATAGGCAAGAAGTAAGGCATGTACCAACATCAACACGGCAAAGGGCACTCCTTCAAAGGCAAGGAAGGGCAAAAATGTTTTAAGACGATTGCTGTATGAGTCGTGCGATTTTTGAATCAAGCCGGGGCAACGCCGGGTCATGCTGCTAGTACTTTACTATATTTGTTCCTTGTCTCCTCTCCGAGCTCTTGCCCCGCATCACAACTCCGTCCTCTTTGAAATTCGGATTACACATTAGTTTCTGTTAATATTTCTTTTGTGTCTTCTATTAGAAAGGGACATCCTATTTCCCCCCCAACACCTACATAGATATTATTAACCTTCCTATTGAGAATTGTGCCACGGAGGTTTCTTAGTGGGACAAAGCCGGAATTGATGCTTTTGTTCTTTCTCGGAAATACCAGGTGAAACCATAATCTTGTACTTGGCTCACATTGGCCTGCTGCGCCGAAAGGAATAAATTCTTCCAGGTGTTACGTGATAGATCCAATCACAACAGAAGTCTATTTGTGTCTGCTCGTAACAATTGTAAAACTGTCCTCAAAGTCTTTGTTTGCATATAGAATGAGACATTTTATAGATTCTAACAAGTTTGGCTCTTTTGACTACCGGCGGCTCTGTAGTATAGCTAGCCATTTGTATTCGAGGATAGCCGTCAACTCGGGCGGTTAGCCAATCCCTGCTACAGACTCTTGCTCAGGCGCATTTTTGTTTATTTAACGCCCACAGAGCTCACCTATGGTTTATACTACAACTATGCTGAGCAGATATTAGTTACAGTTCTACAGTTCTGGAGCTTGTTTTCTAGCGTGATCAACAATTTGAACAAGTCCAGCACGCTCAAGCCTTCGGCCACGATGACTTGTGACTTCGTGCTAGCACAGCTATCGACGGCCTCCAAGGATTTCGTCTAGCCAGTTTCACTCATAAGGTTTGGGTCAACCTGTGGTATGGTTTTCAGGCACTTTCCAAAGGATCGACCCCACCAGTCCGATAACACCAGAAAGTCTCCTTCCTGACGAATCGACCATGGTGAGATTCGAACCCGAGCCTTATGGTCAGAATGCGAACATTCTAACCACTCAGCCACGGTACAGGTCACAATCAATAAGATTTATGCAAAATAATGTACCTTCACGCTTTTTCCGGTAAACTTTTCATCTCGACTGCATGAATTTAAGCTTTCTACTGGACTGATATATAAGTCTCACCGTATGACTGTTGAACTGGCTAGATGCAACTGTAAGTTATATTCTAACAGAGGTCCATGTTAAAATCCAAAGAAGAATCAGCAATACTATTGGCCCTGATCTGGCGTCTCGGCTTCAGTCATTTTCCCACTGCCACAAGTAATATAAATACTTTCCATGGTAATTGTTTGAATGAGCTTAGGTGGTCAGTGATGTCAGTTCGCTGGGCGCCTTTCATTTCGCGTGAGTGTTTTCGTATTTGTCGTTGTGTTTGAATGAGTGCATGTCAGTGCGAGTGCTTGGGATGAATGAATGTTTTCTACTATTATAGTCCCGCATTGATTTCGACCAGTAAAAATTAGTTATTGTGCGTTTTTTTATTACTAATATTATTTTCTTTAGTTTCTTGTAAATAGTTTTGTATTCATATTGTAAATACTCATTGGGGCTAGTTTTTAGAATTGTTGTTTTTCCCCTCCCCTCACCAACAATGAATTGTAAATATGGGGACTAGTTAGTATTTTCATAGAGACAGTGAGGTATTATGGTGGTTGTAGTAAGAAAGGTACGTAAGAATGTGTTGTTTTGGTGTAAGGAATATTGTTCGTACGATTGGGTCAGTGTTTGTGGCTAGCTAAGTTATAATTAAGACAGAAGAAGACCGTCCTTTCCCTAATCCCCCTTACGGCCTTGTGCCACATTTCTGTATTGTACAGAATAAATATCACTCTAAGCTATGGTGCCTAGACTCTTTGAATTTAAGTGCACTACTCGACTGGGGACGAGGTCTCACCAATTTACAGGCGAATTGGCTAGATGGAACCGTAAATTCTATGCCAACAGTTTCTTTTCTCGCACTTATCGCTTGTGGAATTATCTTCCGGTTCCATGCTTTCTAGCTAACTTTAATCATCAAAAATTTAAATGCAATGTCAATCTCTATCTACTGCCCTCCTGATTACTCTTCCTCCCCCCACCCCCGCCCCTAGCAATTGTTCCTAACTCTTACACACCCAGTTAACCCCTTGTGTCTCAGTGGCTTTACAGCCTTGCTTGGGGTGAACATGATTTAAAAAATAGTTACTTTTCTCTCATTTCTCGCCTGTGAAACTCTCTTCCGATTTCTTACTTCCTTCATATCCGCGATCTTCAAAAAATTAAATGCATTGCCAATCGTCATCTTCCATCTTCCTGAATCCTACTCTTTTGTTGTCTTTTCTCCTTGCTAGAGTCTTCCTATTCTTTTTCCCTACCAGGGACCCCTTACATCTTAGTGGTATTCTTGCCTTGCTTGGAGTGAAATGATTGGGTGAAAGTATTAGTAAAAACAAAAATGACAGCTGCCCATCTTGCCAAAAAGTTTTCAAAGACACCATATTATTGGAATGATTTTTAGCCTCTCGAGATTTTATTCCATAAGAAAAAGAGTCGATTTCGTCATTCGAATGAAAATTGATTTATCTCAGAATAGAAAACAATAATCAAGCAAAAAGTCTGCGTCAAGTATTGTTAGATTTCAAAGAATCAAAATTCAAGGAATGGAGAAAAAGAAAAACAAGTGAATTTTATCGAATATCAATGTGTGCCCATAGTAATACGTAAAAAAAAAATGCTTTCATCCTACATATGGGAGACTGGGTTAATCAAACGTGTGTTTTTGTAAATAATATACATAAAATTTATGTTCAACTTCGCACGTTATAAATATTTAACAAGAATATGGCACTTTTCCAAGCGTAGATTAGATGCAGCACCAGGCCAAAAGTAGTAGTCGTAATTGTTCTAGCGGGACAAGCTTGCTAACCATTACACCGCCTCGAAGTGTCCTTTAACGCAGATATATATATCACAAATTGTCACTGTAACGACATATCGTTCATTCAGGGGGATACAAACGTATATATAGAGTAATAAAAACAAAACTTAAGTATAATATATAGTGTATTGTTTTTACAATTATATCAGTAATAAACATAACAATAATTACATATCAATAATAAACCAATCAATCTCTCGAATGTTCGATATGTTTGCGCACGTCATTCGCACATTAATTTTTACCTGCAAAACATTTATCATTATCATTTATTAAAAAAGAAAAATTCTAATAAATGTATTAGAATGAAAATTTTGAAAATAAAAATATCAAAAATGATTATAATGTATTAAATCAATTCCTGTATTAAATGAATCCTAGGACCACTATTATAATACTAGTAATACTTGCTGTATACCTACTTTTGCACACCCTTATGTATGAATATATTTAGCTAATTTTCTTTCCTTTCCCTAATTAATATTAAACACACTAGGCCGGTCAGGTGACCCTTAGCGACCAGTCAGTAACGTACTGATCTATACAGTGCTAAACAAAACCGTAAAGATGTTTCCCTGACACGTTTAAAAAAATGGAAATCTCTTGCAAAATAACGTGTTTGTAACAGCAGACATTATAATATTCGATAGGTTTTCTTTTTCAGTGTTGGAGAGCAGGCATGTAACACCTTTCTACATTTTGTTAACATGTTTTCTTGATAATAGAAAGATGTATAAAATAAACTTTTATTTACGTTCTCCCAACTCTTACCTAGTTGTTCATTATTTTGTTTTTTTAATATTTAATATACTACCCAGAGCAGCTGATATTAGCTGTTTCCCTCTCAAGAAGCATTTGGCATTCATTGACCTAGCAACCGGTTTTCGGTTGAAATTTATAAAATCTTTCTCTTAAAATAAGTTTTCAGGAAAACAGATTTCTCAAGTCCAGTAGCTGTTATCGATCTTTCCAGTATTCCTAACCTTTTATTTGAAATAGTTCGCAATGCTAAGATCTTGATTGTGCCATTATTTTCTCTTCGAGTTATATGTGCAATCCATTTTAGACTTTGCTGCTATTGGTAGTCCACAAGTGATATGGTTTCTGCGATTCTGTAACGCCAGACCACAATGTTCAAAGAGAGACCGTCAGGTTTCACCCGCTGAAAGCCATTTTTAAGAATTGATCTTCGAAAGCGGTTGTATAGAGCAGACAATTTAAATATCTCTGATCAGGTTTGATGGCAAGCGTGACATTAATATGAAAGTCCCGATCTGACACTAGTTTTCTGTTTGGTATTTTAGTTTTGTAGCGATTAGCGGTGTAGAGCGAAACTATCTCTGCCCCCAACTATTGCATGTTCGATTTCATTTTCTCCAATACTTAATTATTAGGTTGGTGCAAAAATAATGACGTAATAATGTCGTTTTTTGAGGTTAAAAAATACGTCAAAAACGACATTATTACGTTATTATTTTTGCACCAACCTAATAGTTATAACTGATCAATACGCCGAGGTATTTGAAGTGTTTAATATTTACTAATTCCACATTTTTATTTTTATAATAGATTCAGGTTAGGTGCCATCACTGCTTTCATAAACCCAACAAATACATCTTCAAGATTTCACCAATTTTGGTTGATTAGTGCGAATTCTGTTGTGGAAAAACTAACTTGCTTAAAATCTGAAATAGTGCATATATGTGACAATCTAATAAAAAAATCGGCCACTCCATGGAAATGGAACCTACGTTTCATTTAACATGAGAAAAAAAAAAACATATTTAAGCTCAGCGCGCTTTAAACTCTCAGCCACCCGAGACATCATCCCCACCTATCCTTTTTAAGAAGCGCTCATCTCCAGTTAAGTTTTCCTACGTAAACAAAGTATTTTTATGTAATTCATTAAATTCTACTATGTCTTATTCATCTAAATATTATATCAATTGAATAATTATTAATATATACATACATACATATATATATATATATATATATATATATATACATACACACACACACACACACACACACATATATATATATATATATATATATATATATATATATAACGAAAAATAGAGATAGACAGACTGCCTGTTAGCTACGATGTATGCGTTTTCCATCAGTCGGATTTTGAATCCAAATAAAAAAATAAAAAAAGCAATTGAAAATGATTTTCCAGGCAGCCTA